CAGTCACTCTTACGCTAGCCTGCTCGCGCTCACACCCACGCATGTACACACGCATTCAGTCTCGCTTACACTAGCTCGCTCACACCCACATCCACGCACGTACACAGGCGCTCACCTCCGGCAGCGCGTCGGGCGGCAGGGCCCCGGGCACCGTGTTCTGCTTCTTGAGCCTCCGCAGCTGCTCCAGCCGCTCGCGCTCGCGCTCCACGGCACGCTGGGCCTCGCGCAGCCGCTCCAGGTCCTGCTGGTAGGCCTGCCGCTGCCGCTCCAGCTCGGCGCGCTCCTGGCTCAGGCGCTCCTGCAGCCGCAGCGCCTCGCTCTCGCGCTGCTGCAGCCGGGCCGAGGCCAGGTCCAGCTCCTGCCGCTGGCGCTCCCGCTGGCGCTCCCAGCGCTGCTGCTCCAGCCGCAGCTGGCCCTGCAGCTTCTGCACGCCCGCCAGCTCCTCCCGCTGCTTCTCGAAGTTGCGCTGCCGCTCCTGCTCCAGCAGCAGGTTCCCGCGCGTCGACTGCAGCCGGAACTGCTTCTCGCGCTCCTGGATGGCCGCCCTCTGCGTCTCCACGTAGCTGTCCTGCTGCGCGATGACCGCCTGTGGGGAGGGACCGGTGAGGGCCGGGCTCCAGGACGGTTTCAGGAGGAGCGGGCCCTTCCCCGGGAAAAGGGCAGGCGCACTGTATCACACTCGCCCCGCAGCCCCTGTACCTGGAGGCTGAGCAGCAGCTGGGACAGCGTCTGGATCCGCTGGATGAGCTGTGGAGAGAGGGGGAGAGAGACGCTGGCTCTCTGCACGGAGCCCTTGGCGTGCATGCTGCCCTGGGGAGAGGGAAAGCCGGGCACCTACCTCCGACTCCAGGATGGTGGGCGGCCGGCGGCCAGACTCTGTGCCCAGGTCCTCCACCTGCAGAGACAGCAGCGCAAACAGCTTCTAAGGACCAATCCAGCTGAAGTCAGACCCGCTTATTATTGACAATAATGAGGCACAGGGTGGCCCCTGGGGAGGCGGGAGGGCAGCTGTCACGGGCCCACCATGTGGGAGGCCCGGAGGTTAGGCAAGCCTGGCCTTGACTCGGAGCCCACAGCCTGACCCTGCTCTGACCCCAGTGCTTGGCAAGGGTGGGCCTTCTTTAGCATCTATGGGCTTGAGGACACCTGTACAGTTTCTCACCTGTTGAGGGGGCCGTGGCTCCTGCCCTGAGCCCGCCCCCTTTCCCGCCTCCCGCCGTTTCTGGGGCCTGCAGATGAAAATGCGGAGGCTCACCTGCCCGCAGGTTCATGTGGCCTGAGATATTACTATTATTCACTGTGCAGCAGAACACCTTGTCGCTGTTTGCCATTGAGACGGAAAAACCAGGCAACCCAAACACAGGCTGTTCGCACTCGTTAACAATAATACAAAGGACTTGGGCCGCCTGTCTACTGAGCTGAGGAATATCCCAAGGAAGCAACATACCACCTGCGGGGCTTCCTCAGAGGCCCCTGGGGTGAAGTCTGGGTTGCTCGCGGTGCCTTGCCAGTCTCGGGGGCTGGGGTCATTGCTGCCGACCTTCTTCTTAAAACTGCCACCTGAAAAGGCCAAGCAGGTGCGTGAGGATGCTGTGGGTCCCGTGGGAGTCTGGAACCCCCAGCCCAGCCTGGGTATGAAACTGTGCTCAGACCTGGGCCGAAATGGCGGCATTTGTGGCACAGGGACCAGCAGAAGTGGGAGGGGCTGGCCTGGGTGCTGCTGTCAGAACACGACTGGCAATACCCGGAAGGTTCCAGAACCCCCACCACGGAGAATTTATAGACAGTTGAGATGCCCAACAGCAAATGCCTGGGCTTAGCCAAGGATGCCGTGGGAAGGGAACGTTCCCAGAAATTGCACAACCTCCCGCTGCCAATGACCTTCCTTGGGCCCCAAGAAGCCCCAGCCCCAGGGTGACAGGCGGCACCACTCACTCCTGCCGGGGCTGCTCGTGCTGTCGTAGCCCCCAAAGGTCTCTGCCCTCCGGGGCAGGGGTGTGGAGCCGCCCCCATCTTCCACCTGGCCACTGGCACTGCCCAGCCGCCTGCAGATGAGGCTCTGGATGTCCTCGACTGTGGGAGGAGAAGACAGAAAGGGAGTCACCCTGTGGAACCACGCTGTGGGTGTCAGAGTGCAGGACACGGGGCCCAGGAGCTCACGGGCCGTTGGTCAGCCCCTCCTAATCGCCTGATGTGGGACTTTAGCCCCACTGATTCTGTGCACCCCCTGACTTCAGAGATTACAGCCAGGACACGCCAATGGGTGTCTAAAGGAGAGGCCAGGCATGGGCAGCCACATGGGAGGGGCGCGCCTGGGCCAGGGGCTGGGGATACGCTGGGCCTAGTAGGGAACTCGTGGCCACTGCTTGTGTGACGACAGTCATACAGAAGGTCAGAGGCCACAGAAAGGTGGCCTTGGGGGGGGCAGGGCTCTTACACAAACTCTAGAACAAACAGGCTTTGGCCAGGTGAGAAGGTGGGGAGAACATTCCAGGCTGAGGTACAGGCTATGAGAGGGTCCTCACGGGGCAGAGAACAATGGCCACTGGAGAAATGGGAGAAGGACAAGGCTGGCGTGGCTGCAGGGACCAAGACTGAATGGGAGGAGAGGCCACGCAGGACCCCCTCTGGTCTCTGTTCTCTTCACTCTGAAGGAAAGTTCTGGAGAGCAGGGGCTGTCCTGTCTGCTGTTGAAAGAGTGGTGCCGGCCATCCTGCTGGACTGAATAAGCACTGGCCACCTCGCCTGCCACGTGCCCTGGCCAGCACGGGCTCAGCAGCCAGATGGAAGCTGCCAGGGGCTCCGACAAGCACCCTGACTGCTCTGCGAAGCAGGCTGGCGGCCGGATACACGTGGAAAGGGCAGGCCGCTTACCAGCCAGCGCCCTCCCATGGCTTCTGGTGCTCAGAAGCCTCTTCCCGCTAGATGTAGGGTTCCAGGCCCGGGGTAGCTGCTGGGTCCAGAAGCCCTCCGAAATGACCCACCAAACAGTATGTGTGCATTTTTCTGGGGATATCATCAATGACCCACTTATCAGCAAGAAGGACCTCTTGAATGTGGAGACCCCATCTCAATCAACTTCAGACCCACAGGGCCCAGTGTGGTGCCTTGCACATAGCAGGCACCCAGGGGTGTTTGCTGAATGTGAGAGGTGTTTTAAGCCTGCACCCGATGGTGTCTAAGGACCTTCTGTCTCTAGCAGGCGCGGGTGGGGGTCAGTGCTGCTCCCGGGCGCATGTCTGCACAGCAGACACAAGTGTGCCCTGGACAGGGTGGCGAATTGGCCACACTGGGCCATGGGCCCGGCCTGGGGTCCCCTGAGGAGGCCACGCAGGCAGAACTGTGGTGTGGGAGTGCACCGGTGCTCAGTGAGACTCCGTGGCTACTTACTCGCACTCATGGCCGACCTGAGAATCAGCTCCCCCTGCAGGTTCTCGGAGGGGTCCCCTCCTCGGAAGAGGAGGCGTGACTGAGTGAAGTCCTCGAGTCCGCTCATCTCGGCCATCTCCAGGTAGATTTGCTGCTTCTCACTGAGGCTCTGCGCAATCTGCTGGTCTTTCGAGTTCAATCGCTCTGTAAAGGGACGTGGAGGTGGTGGCCGGTCTTCTCTGGGTCAGTCTCTCCAGAAGCCGGTGGAAGGATGCCTCTGGGGACCCTCGCTGACCCACACCCCATCCCGAGGGCCTGGCCCTGTCCTCTGATCACTTCCCCAGTTGTAAAAATCAAAAACAGTGGGGTAGGGGCTGGCCCGGTGGCGCAAGCAGTTAAGTGTGTGCGCTCCACTGGGACGGCCCGGGGTTCGCTGGTTCGGATCCCAGGTGCGCAACAACGCACCACTTGTCAGGCCATGCTGTGGCAGCGTCCCATATAAAGTGGAGGAAGATGGGCACGGATGTTAGCCCAGGGCCAGTCTTTCTCAGCAAAAAAGAGGAGGATTGGCAGATGTTAGCTCAGGGCTGATCTCCTCACACACACACAAAAAAAAACCAACAAAAAAAAAACAGTGGGGTATTGGTGA